ATCTAAAGAAGGGGAAGATTGTTCTTCATTCCTCGAAGGAGATTGTGGCTCTTTCGCAAATATTACTCAAAATTCCAAAAAATCAGAAGCTAAAAATAGTCATAATCAATTGGGCATATCCAACTACCATAAACCACTTAGGAATTGGGTCATGCAATTCTCTCTTTAAGTGTTTAATACGTCTTTACTTAGGAATTATGTCATGCAATTCTTCCTTTGGTGTCATGCTTATAAATGTGTCATGCTTAATTGCTTGTTTTTTTCAACCAGAAAATAAATTTGCTTGCTTTGAGGTATTGTTGATTTTGGGTTCTTTTTAAACTCTAAATCTAATTAAGGTCACTCACTAGTATGAACCTAACATCATCCTACCTCGACTTGAAAGTAGATGATTTTGTTCGATGACAATTTTGTACATAAGCACATAAGCTAAGAATAATAAAGGATGGAACTGGATTTCAATATTAAGAAACCAATAATGTTGCCATTCTAGGCATAATCATAGGTCTTTTAAGTTTCATAATACTTTAATTTTCTTAAAGGATTTTGCTTCTCATCTTCCTATGACTCTTTCCTAATGAGCATGTAAATTTGTTTGTTCCTTTATTCTTCTTAGTTTTAATTTCGTTGTAGTATCATAATATGGACACAAGCGTCAGTTTTGGATGCTAGTGAAGCCAAAATATTTATAAGTATAGAGCTATGCTATTTGGTAAGATATTTGTATGATTTTTTTTTCTTTTTTCCCTTCTTCCCTCCGCTGATTACCGACCTCAGACAAGGGAGACAAGGCCAACCGTCAAATTGGTTCAGGAAAAACCTTCATGATTTATGGATCTGACAGCAATCCTAGTCTCACTCCTTGAGCTACTATACAACTTTTCAAAAAAAGGGACGCCTGGGTGCCTCGTCGGCCTCCCTCCGGCATCCTAGCATGAGATAAGCAGTCAAATTGGTTTTAGAAAGACTTTCATAAATTATGGATTGAGAATAATCCTGGTCTCCCTCCTCAAGCTACTACAGAACTTTTCAAAATTTTAAAATGGGATAGTAACAAATTCTTTTTTTTTTCAGTAAAGCTACTTTTAATAATGCTGCTCATGGAGTCAAACCTAAGTATTATTGATTTTGCTTATTGCCCGAAAATATGTTAAATCTCAAGAACATATCATGTGTGATGATTCGCTAGCGACTTTTGTACTCAAGTCCTTTATTTGATATCAATGCCAATTTATAGGTCTACATTGGTAGACATAAAGAAAGACTCAAAGGCAAGTAAAAAATATATCCTAATTTGGTTAGTTAATTTGTAAATTGAAAATATTGAGTCAAGGTTTCCGTAGGTGCAAAAATAGAGTCAATGTGATGTTGGACGGAAAAATTATGGCTGCTCAAAGTTTGGTCAAATTCGCGGCAAAACTTTACAAAACTCTTTTTTCAATTTGATGAATTGAAAACATCCGGTCATTGATTTCCAGAAGTGAAAAGATTGAGTTTGAACATAGGACGGAAAGACTTTCATAATTTCTGGATCTAAGAGCAATCCTAGTCTCATTCCTCGAGCTACTACATAACTTTTCAAAAAAAAGGGAAGCCTAGGTGCCCTCACCGGCCTCCTTCCAACATCCTCGCCCAAGGCCGACTCCCTCCTCGAGCCACTACAAAACTTTTCAAAATTTTAAAGCGTGATAGCGATAAATTCTTTTTTTCATTAAAGCTATTTTTAATAATGCTGCTCATGCAGTCAAACCTAAGTATTATTGATTTTGCTTATTGCACGAAAATATGTTAAATCTCAAGAACATATCATGTGGGATGATTCGCTAGTGACTTTAGTACTCAAGTACTTCATTTTATATCAATGCCAATTTATAATTCTACATGGTAGAGTTGTATCAAGATACGCTCCTAGATCTTCTACTTCCAAAGAATGTCAAATGCTTGAAATTGGACAAGTAAAAAAATATCTTGATTTGGTTAGTTAATTTAATGAATTGAAAATATCGAGTCACGGTTTTTGTAAGTGCAAAAATCGAGTCATTGGGATGTTAGACGAAAAAATTATGGTTGCTCAAAGTTTGATCAAAATTCGTGGTAAAATTTTTCAAAACTTTTTTCAATTTGATGAATTGAAATTGGTTTCCATTAAGTGCAAACATCGAGTTTGAAAATGGGACAAAAAGACTTTCACAATTTATGGATTTGATAGCAATCTGGTAGCAGTCCTCATCCTACTAAACTTTTCAAACGAAGGGTTCCCGGGTTAAATTGGTTTAGGAAAGACTTTCACGATTTATGGATCTAACAGCAATCTTGGTCTCCTTCCTCGAACTACTACATAACTTTTTCAAAATTTTTAAAGGGGGATAGAAACAAATTCTTTTTTTCATTAAAGCTACTTTTAGGAATGCTGCTCATGTAGTCAAACCTAAGTATTATTGATTTTGCTTATTGCCTGAAAATATGTTAAATCTCAAGAACATATCATGTGATGATTCGCTAGTGACTTTAGTGTTCAAGTATTTCATTTGATATCAATGTCAATTTATAGACCTACATGGTAGAGTTGTATTAAGATACATTTGTGGATCTTTTACTTTCTAATAATGCCCATTGCTTGAAATTGGACATAAAGAAAGACTCAAAAGCAAGTAAAAATATATCTTGATTTGGTTAGTTAATTTGATGAACTGAAATATCGAGTCATGATTTCCATAAGTACAAAAATCAAGTCAATAGGATGTTGGACGGAAAACTTATGGCAGCTCAAAGTTTGGTCAAACTATGACATCGGGTCACTAGTTTCCGCAAGTGCAAATATCGAGTTTGAATATGGGACCGAAAGACTTTTCACAATTTATGTATCTGACAACAATCTTGGTCTCACTCATCGAGCTATTATAGAACTTTTCAAAAAAAAAATGCCTGGTGCCCTTGCCGTGAGCTCAATGAAAGAAGGACCCATATTCTCCCATGCCTTGTCCAAATAAGCCCTAACCAACTGCAACGTCTCGCGTTCATCGCCTACAGATTCTCGCGCTCACCCCAACATACATCGCTGCCTCGACGCAGATCCTCCACCGGAGCAACTACAACGAGAGTAGCCCCCTCTTGGTCTCCAACTCATCCATCCTCCGACAAATCCTCTCCACGGCGACGAAATACTAGCCTGCTCGTCCAAACGCCCCGTGCAGGAATATGACGGTGCAATCCACAATGACGAAGGGATAGGCCTCCTGCATGGCGTCGGAGGCAAGGAGGCTGCCGGCCATCCTATCCGCCTCTTTAATTATGTGCACATCGAAAAATGGGGTCGTTGTCGTAGCAAAATACGAATGGGATAAAGTCATCCCATTTCGGGCCAGGCTTCATTGAAGAGAGTTCGTTCCCTGGCTCGTACTAGTTTTGGTTGAGTTCGTCGAGCCATAACTCTATCCAAATCCAAACTGTCTCTATAGTTGTTCGTTCCCAATGTGTCTTATTATCTAGAGAATGAAATGAAGCACCTTAAGTTACGTACAAAATCAGTAAACTAGCAAAAGATTCATCAGAATTCAAGTCACATGAAAGAAGATTGTCAAACTACACAATGTACACATGAAATCTTCCATTAGAAGACTAATTTATTTTCTGTGAAACAAACGCCGAAAAATTCGAAAAATATTTTATTGAAAGTTATTTTTCGTTAAATGAACGGAGCCTAAGAGTTTTCTCTCTAAGAAAGGAAGGGAGTTAGGAGACGAAAAAATTGACAGAAGATGAAGATTCTTGAGTCGTCTATTGAATCTTTGAGAAGGCAATGTCCATTTGAATCGTCGTTAATTCTTTAAAAACCATTTTAAGCTGTCATCAATAGTGTCTTAATCTTCTTGTTAGCGAAGTTGGAAGTCTTTTTACATTTTTCATGCAAAAAGCATTAAGTTAGTGGACACTAATCCTGTCAAAAAGAACGGCTCTTAACCCATACATCAGTAAATTGATCACTTATATTTAGTAAATATGTCATAAATGGGTATAAATATAATATGAGTGTTAAATGGATCGTTAATTGATCATAAATGGGTTTACAATTTATTTAAACTCAACTCATTTTTCTCGTCCTCACTCAATTTTCTAGATTGAGTTAAATATGGAAGTGTTTTAGAAACATAAGTCGGGATCGGGTATGGGTTGAATATGAGTCGGGTCGGGCATTGGTTATTACATTTGCATTACGCGAAAAATGGGTCAAAACAGGTTAAATATGTCTATTTGGATGAGACCATTTTCGACCCGACCCACTCATTTGTCAGGTGTAGTGGACACGCACCAAAGTATAAGATATATATATTTTTTTATCCTCAATTTCAATAAAATCAAAATGCTTCAACCTTAATATTTATGAAGAGCTTTTGTTTTGGATTATTATCACGAAAAGCCTCAAACTGGTACACATGTGATAATTTTACCCAAAACTAATTTTTGACCACAAAAAATCTCAAACTGGTACACCTATGACAGATTTACCCCAAAATAATTTTTTAATCATCAAAAACCCCAAAAATGGTACACTTGTGACAAATTTACCCTCCTTTAAATTGAATTAATGCCACAACAAATCACAAATTAGTAAATATGTGACAAATGGTTGGGTAAAACTCCAAATTGGTACATCCGTTAACTCTCATGTATCATCCAACTCAACAATTCGGCGATAAAATTTCACGAAAACTAACGAAGTGTAAATTTATCATCAATTTGGGATTTCTATGGTTAAAAAATTAATTTGAAGTAAATTTATTACTGATGTATCAATCTGAGATTTTTTAAGGTATTAACATTTGTTTTTTTAAGAAGCTAATTAAGAGATTGGACTACAGATAACGAAGCTCCACCCTCAAGTCCAGGGCCCATTAGCCCATGAAGAGTGGTCTCCATTTCGTGGTCTCCCTCCCTCTCTGTCCACGTCGAAACCTAAACCCTCTTCCTCCCCCTCCCCTCTCTCTCTCTCTCTCTCTCTCTCTTTCTCTCTGTCTTTGCCGAAACACGACGGAGCCCGGCGCTCGAAGCGGAGGGACGGAGGAGCCTCCAAGCGAGGAAGTCAAAAGAGGTTCGTCTCATCTCCCCTTCTCCGTCGAGCTTCGTCTGCCATTTGCTCGGTCGTGCTTTCGTTTTGCTTCCCAAGTGGGTAGAGTAGATGGGTTTCTTTGCTTGATTGATGAGATGTGTTTGCCCGCCATTGTATTTGATTCTCAGAGGGGAGTGGAGTGGAGGAGGATGAGTGGCGGCGGCGGCGGCGGCGGGGGCGGGCTGAAGAGCTTGATGGCGGCGGCGGTGGCGAGGGGGGTGACGGAGGCGAGGGAGAGGATCTTCGGGCACATTCTGAATCCCACGGCGCAGCGGTCCCCCCACAAGCTCCTCAGGAAGAAGCTCATCGGCGAGAAAGTCGCGCAGTGGTACCCCTACGACATCAAGAAGGATGACCCTCTCGTCATGGCCCGTCAAGAGCAAGAGTATCCCCTCTCTCTCTCTCTCTCTCTCTCTCTCTCTCTCTCTAGCGGACACGACGAGATATGCATTTGTATGTGTGTGTGGCGAAGCATGCCTGACTCTGTGGTGTTCGGTTTCACTGTATTTGGCCAAGATTAGACTGGTGCCTGGAAGTATGGTGCTGTTACCTAGTGAAGGAGAGGTTCCTCCTTTAATGTTATTATATATTTAGAGGGAACAAACGTGAGATAGCTTACTTAGTGTGGGGATCTTGAGTGCACGACAAAGAATCTGAGAAATCATGTACATTGTGCAGTAACCAAGGAATTAGCCTGGGATGCTGGGAATGCTAGTACTAGAATGTTGAACTACTTTCTCCACCGCACTTGAGTAGGCAATTCAATTATCACTGCCAGTTGGCTTCAAGTACAAGCTTAATTTGTGCCGTTAAATGCGTGCTCGATCCATCTCATCTGCTATTGTCTTGGACAGACTTTCTAACTATCAATGTGGCATCAAGGGGATACCAATTGTGTAGAAGTCTGTATGCTTTGTTACAGGATAAATGGTGAAAGATGAGATTTCAACAGTTTGCAGTATCTGGGTTTGGTGTTTGGTCTGCATCTGTATTGCAAGTTCTAATGGAAGTTTTGGTCCATATTCTTTTTGAGTTCTTTCTTGAGCCTTGTTGTATGCTGCAAGTAGGGATATCTCCAGTACAAAAGGCAGGTTCTAGGGTCATTGCAGTTTTCTTTGGTTTCTCTGCCGGGTTTTTGGGGGAGATTCTGGCTGCTGAATTAGTGCTGTGCTGAAATTATCCGTGATCAGTAATATTTGGCCTCTAGTCATTGGAAGAAAAATAAGAAAACGAGATCGCCTGCATTTTACTATATGGTACCATCCCTAGCTTGTTCTCTTCACTGTATAAACTGTTTTTCATTCTGTTTATGGGATCTTACTAGCTAGGATGACATCCAATTTTGAAGTCTACTTCTCGCGCTAGATAATGATGATTTTTGTATAATTATGCACTATGTCCTCTACTATCTGACATTTTTTCCTTGAACTCTTTTCCAGGCGCTTATCAAAGCTTGAAATGTTGAAGCGTCGTGGGAAGGGACCACCCAAGAAGGGCCAAGGAAGACGTGCTGTGAAGCGCAACAAATGAAACTGGGATACTCACATTATTTGTGCACATTTTGACTCATTGTATCAGTTAGAATTTTATTTTTGGCGGTTGATATTCTGTTTATCTAGTTCTCTTTTTTCCTTCCCCTTTTTTAATGAATAAGTTCTGGCGAAATGAATGGGACATGATAGCATTTGAGCCATAACTTAACTTTGTCTATATGACTTTATCCCATTAAAATCAGCCTTTGTTTATCAGTTTGCCTGGTGCTATGCACCATGGACTCTGGAGTGCTTGTATCTCAGCCTTGAGAAATTGTGATTGAGGTAGTTAAACTGACTTTCACCCTTCAGTATAGATTGGTTGGACATGCATCACAAACTCATCTGAATTACGGATGTTGATTGTCTTGTGTGATTACCAGTAACATGTTACTAATCCAAAGTATGAGATTATCTCTTGTAATTCCAAGTCAATTTTCATGCTTTCATCAGTTACGAAATCAACTTCAGGAGTCAGTAGGCGTGTAGTCCAACGGAGAGTAAGACAAATTTCAGCGGATAACACAAAACCCTTTTGAATCAAATTGGAAGCTTTAGGATTCGTTCTGTGTTTACGGACTTGGCATATTGGTTTGCATGCATCACAAGGAACAAGAAACCAATGGCAATGCATCTTAGTCAAGTGTTGGTGTGCTGAGTAATTTGATGCAGCAACAGGGGTTTCCTCAAGTATCAGTAAAACCCAGAACATGCTGGAGTGATGGTAGAGTGTAACAGTTGTTATTGCGCATTGTAGTTCTTACATTATGACCGAATGTAAATAGAAGGTCCATAGCTCAGTACAATTATACTTGTGAGATCGATGATTTGAGCCGAACTTTGGGTTTCATTCGTACACATCTCTTGGCACTGATTTTGGGTATTCTCTGTGAAATGAATACGGAGAAGCTTCTCACCGACTGAAGAAAGTTTGCTCGAAAGGCAGCTGCAAAATGAAAGCAGGTGATGCTATGTAGACTAAATGGCAAAAACGCTAGTAACTTTGTTATTTCTGGCAAGGAAGAGACAGATCCTTGCTATTATCTATCTAAAACTTGCTGAAGTTTCTTCATAATATGTTTGTGCACCTAGATGGCGGATAAATATTTAGATCTTGAAAGTGTGAGACCTTTAAGGGAAAGAAACATTCCCCTCCGGCGTCTTGCTTTTGCCATCGTCTTCAACATCAGCCTGCTGAAGTTTCGCCTCGGGTTGCTGTGGCTGATGTGCCATATCATAGGTTGCATGGAGTCCGATGAGAAGATAGTAAAGAAGCATTACTACGGTGCATATCCCAAATCGCACGAAAGCCTCATAACCCAATGACCCCATTAGAAACAAATTTGTTGCTATAGACAATGATGGAAGCCATGGGACGAGCGGAACTCCCCAAACTTTTGGTGTTCTCTGCTGTGGCAAGAACTTGTAAATCCCTAAAGTGCCCAAGAACCAAAGTGGTATGGTTACGCAATACCCAATCCAACCATTTGGGTTCAATCCCCAGTAAGCTGAAGTCCCCATAGAGGAAGCTACGATTATCAGCAAGAAAGCAACCAGCTTCAACAGGTTCTGTTGAGGTGTTTTGTCTCGTACATAGTACCTCCTCACGAGAAGAGCAACTGCCATCATCATGAAAATGAATAGTGTGCTCACAGATAACAAGCTTGCAAGTACGTCCAGGCTGGAGAAGAAAGCAATGAGAGCACTTGAAATAGTAATCAGAAGGGTTGCGTTGATGGGAGTTCCAGTTTTCGGGTGGACAAGGGCAAACCACGGTGGTATCATGTGGGCTCGCGCGATATGAGTGGTGTACCGTGCTTGGCCAAGTGCCCCAACAAGAAGAACTGTTGTCATGCCCTTAAGAGCACCAAGAGCTACCAGATACTTCGCCCACTTCATTCCCACGCTTTGAAAAGCCACAGAGTAGGCTGCATTTTCATCTATTTCTGTGTACTTCTGCAGCATGCTAAGCGCTAGAGCCATCAAGCAGTATATCACCATGATGATCGACATTGATCCGAGCAGTCCTATTGGTATATCTTTCGAGGGGTTCTTTGTTTCCTCAGCCATGGTAGCTATATTATCAAATCCACCATATGCAAAATATACAATAGCCGCTGCTTGGAAGACCCCTTTAGCCCCGAAAGGCATAAAAGGTGTCAAATTAGAAGTGTCTGCATGAATAAATCCTGCAATTATGACGAACAGAATTACCACGGTGTTGATTGCAGATGCTATCCAGTTGATGGACGAAGCGTGCCTTGTGCTAATCATTGCAATTGTGGCAGCAATAGCCAGAACAGCAACGGCGATCGGGTCCAGGAGATTGTAACCGTCCTGAAGACTCGTATGTATGCGTAACGAGTTGGAGGGACGGTTCAGCAAGTTTGTGAAGTAGGAAGTCCAGGCCCTGGCAACGGCTGCAGTCCCAACAATGCTTTCCAGGAGTATGTTCCCTGCTGTTATGAAGGCAGCGAAATCTCCTAGTTCTATTCTCAAGTAAGCAAAAGATCCACCGGCCACTGGAATTTCTACTGCAAATTCCGTGTAGCAGAAGACTGAAAGCATAGCGGACACCCCCGATGCGACATATGACAGGACGATGGCCGGCCCGGCATGTTTATGGGCTTCTTGGCCAGTAAGCACGAAAATGCCTGCTCCGATGACCGATCCGAATCCAAACCATGTGAGGTCCCACCAGTTTAGGCAACGTTTCATGTCGTTCTCGCTCCGTTTCCTGAGCTCCCCGACCTCTGTGACATCATCCGACCTGCTTCTGATCCTATCCTTCAGCCGGAAACACGTCTGCCGCAACGCAGATCTGTAGGATCCCCAGCTCTTGAATGATTCTTCTGGGAAGAAATCTTGCTTGCTCCACCTCCAGTAACCTTTTTCTCCAACCTGATCATTTGCCAATTCTTCATTTGAAACTGTCATGGTTTCTCTGAATTGAGCTCTAGAGATGGAAGTTTGAGATACTACTCGTTGGAAGCTCTACTGGCCATTCCCGGATGGACGTGTCTTATTTGTAGGAGAAAGATGCGCTCAAATGTCTTGACACTCCTCGGTCACTCCTCCAATCACTACTCGTCTTGACCTTTCTGTAGACGACAAAGGCTGGGAAGAGGTGGGTCCTTCGAAGTGGGGCAGTTTTTGGACGTTTGCTCCATAGGCCTGTGACGGTAGACTCACAGAGATGGTGATTAACTTTTGAAAAGTCCATGTCCTTGAATATTATAATGCATTCGCTTGTTGTCTTGTAAGAGATTCTTCTGCAACAGGCAGCGAAGATACCCTCGATCTCAACTAGGGACGCTTCATGAACTTGCAACCAACAAGTTGATAACGCTGCCCCTCTTCTTTTATTTCCCTCCCAGTCTCCCAGCCACAACAGCTAGTTATACATAGCATAGCACTTTGAGGAGTAAGCGACACCCTGCTGGAAAGTTTGACTAGTTCATGCACAGCTAGAAGTTGATCTTTCCAATCTTGAATCATGACCGCTTTCCTAATTTTTCTAATCAGCACGGAGATTCCTAGATGGGAAAAGTACAAGAGAAGTTCCGAGTTTTCATATGGCACTTGGTGTAAACACCACGGCTTCTTGATTGCTCTTTTTAGATTATTAACTTCTTTTATTTAACTTACATTGACCACTTGCTCGTCGAAAAAATTGACGTGACATTATTATAAAAAAAAGCACGTACGAGCGACTTTATCATTAAAATAATGTCACGTTGCCATTCTCGGCGAGTAAATGAAATATCAAAGTAAAAGAACTTAGGCGAGTAATCCAATAATTGTAACACTGAATTAAGTGCCGTATGAATTTGAAATTTTTAGTATACTTTTCTGAGTTTTAGCAAGATTACGGGTCCATCTCAGATTCTTTAGATGTGAACCAATATTTGCAAGTAGATGAGGTGAACCCAATTGCACGCTTGCACGAAGCGAGAAAGAGTCGAATTCTTTTTGTCGAATGATTTAGAGAGAAGTTTGGTGTTGGTGTTGGGCAAAATTTTCCCCCCAAGGGACCACTGATCCCTACAAATTTGCCTTTTGGCAATCAGTCCAAACCTCTCAACTTGAAAAGAGGAAGGTGACATCGACCGATAGCTGTGTCTGCCGTCCCGTTCCTCCAATATCCGGCTTTGATCAGGACAGGTACTCGTCCCATCACGCGGACTTTTTATCGAAGACGACGACTTTGTACTTTGAAAAACTCCAAAGCCCTCAGCATATACACGCCTCTATTCGGGACCAAAAGTCTCAGATCCACTACATCACTCGATCATCTTATTCTCGAATTTGTTCCCGGCTCCCTGATTGGTTCATTAGTTGCTAGAAGAATGCAAAAACCATACCTTATCAGTGCCTTTTTGATCTTGTGATCACTTCCCATCCTCGTTAGATTGCCTATGGGCCTAATCCATCTACGAATCATATATCTCTTTAAGAGAGCCCTGCTCGCATACCATTTATAACGATCACGCATGTTATATGGGAGTTCAATCCCTAAAAGACACACTTTAAATAACCACACAGGATATTGACCATTTGAATTACATGTTTACTTTTAAGTTACACCATAAGGCATCTCCATCAAATCTGGAATTTGAGATGTTTCACCAGCCAAACTAAACTACCTACCTGGCAAGAAGTTCACTATGTGAAGTTTGAGAATTGACCACGTCTCCATCCCATCTGTTTGACAAGCCCCCAAAAGTAATCTTAGCACCAGCACAGCAGCAAACACGCCATCAGCATGACACCAACCAGAATATTTCGTGTGTCATCTCCAAGCATAAAACAGGAGGACAAATTACAGGTTCGACAGCCTTTGCTCTATCGCTTCCTTTAGCACTGAGAGCTGATTTGTTGCCAGATCAAACGTATTCTTCCCAAACGGTTGATTTTGTATAAATTTTTATCTTCTGTCTGGCTTTCTACTACGCCTAGTTTGTAAGTTCATTATACTTTGCCGTTGGAGAACTTCCATTATACAGGAGAATTTTTGTGCACAAGATTGTAGTCTGCCCTTGCGAGATACCATATCAGTGCAATCTAAAAGAAAATGGCCAGAATGCAATCTCATGTAATTTTCTCTCTGTTACACAAGGTTCATTGAAATCAAGCCCAGAAAATGGTTCCTTAAGACTGTAAGTTGCAGAAGGTAACAAAAATTTTTAGGAATGGCACCTCCTGCCCAATACTAGTAACAGAGATGGATATGCGTACAACAACAGTTTCTTTTGCAAAAAATAGGAGAAACTACGATGGAACTTGCTCATCCCTGGACAACCATTCTTGTGCAGCCACCAGGTCGGGAAGCACAACTGCACCGGATTTCCTCCATTCCTCAGCGTCGGACGTCTTGAACCTGTCTAACAACAATGCATGCATTCCCACGCTCGTTGCTGGCACATAGTCCTTGCGCATGCTGTCTCCTATGTGCAGTGCTTCTTCTGGTGCAATATTTCCAGCCCTCTCGAGCGCAATCTCATAAATTCTTGGGTCTGGTTTCTCCACACCCTCCAGCCCCGAGAATACACCAAAGTCCCACTCTGACCCCTGAAATAGCAGTTCACCCTCTTTACTCAATGTTTTTGAACATGAATAACTCTATCACGATTCTGTACCAATTAGCAACTCAAATATTTAATAGCATATGCATGCCATTGTGAAGTTAAGCTATAGATACACACAAAAATATCACACTACATGTACATGCATATACATGACCAATTACATTGAGAAAGCAAGCTAAATCAACTTGTCTAATGCTGAGATAAGAAAAAAATGATATGCTACAGGAGCATTCATGTGCACAGCAAACCACAAATTCAGACTTATTACAGGATAAACCTAAATTGCGAACGTTGAAACCACAATTTTATGTTAGTCATCTAACAACAGTTTGTCCACCTGGTATAATCCCAAGGCAGGAAGAATCACATCCTTATATCGGTACTCAGCATTGCTCACAATTCCAACTTTAAGGCCTCTTTGACGCAACCACCTCAAGAATGGTTGGGAGTCTGGAAAGACGGTGTAAGGTGCAGCTGAACCGAAAGATGCATATATGCGTCTAAATATCTTGTCAAATGTCTCTTCATCATACTCATAACCTGCCTGTTAGCAAAATATTAAGATTATTAACACATCCAGGCATAGGATTTCGAGAAGTAAATGGAACTCTCAAGCTACTAGCAGAATTCTTCAACTGGCAGTACTAAAATCACAAAACATCACAATCAGAATGACCACTACAGCATACAAATAACTCTATAGCTTCATTAATTTAATAAGATAAAACTGGAACCAGGATGACATACTCAGCATGCAAAAGGCAATAGTAGTCTAGCTGCGTTAAGCAACTCACCGAGCTCCACTTCATAGGCTTGGCTATCTTACCTGGACAAATGAATTTCTCACGCAAGTTTTCCACCACACAATGTTTGACATTTTGGCAGCATGTCCGAAGCATGGATAATTTTTTGCCATTTCTGTATATGCAAGTTTAAAGCCCTCATGAACGCGTTTATAGTCGGGGCATGGAAGACCAACTGATTTGGCAGCCATGCAGTAATAGTCACCAAGCTCCCCTTTGTAAGCCATGAGTGTGCCAGTGACATCTACAGTGACGCATCGTAATTTGGATAGGATTTTCATTTGCAGATTCGGGAGGATAAGGCTTTTAGAGTAAATTCTAAAGTCAACCAAAGAAAATCTGGACAATCAACTCTTGAAGTAACTTGAGTCCCCACAAATCTGCAGAGGAGGATGAGTTGGATTAATAAGTAAGCAAAGGAGCACTGACACCAATTTCCAATCATAGATCTATTAAACATACAAGGATAATGTCAATATGTTAGAATTTCATTCAAGCTCGTGAATTATGTTGTGCACAAGAGATAAATGATCTCTAAACACTACAGAGGTTGATTCAAAGGGTTCAAGTACTCGTCTTGCAGATATTAGTGATATCCACATTATATGTAAGAGCCTTTTCAAAATGTTTTCAACATGATAATTGCAAAGGAAGAGCTCAAAGAAAGGTCTAAGTTCTCCATGCTTATTGCTCAAGCATTCAATCTACAACATGACACTTAGGGATTCAGCTTGGAAAATGTTCTACGACAAAGGTTAACCCAGCAGTAGGGCCAGTCCTTCCTCAAATTTGGCTTGGATTAGATGATTTTGATCCACAACATCCTCCCTAGTTCACTGAGCATGCCTCTGTGTTGAGTGTGCAGTTGTCCAAGTTTAATAAAAGCAAATTCCCAAGAAGCAAAACCTAACATATGCCATGACACGTTTACCAAAAATGGAGGAAAAGTAGTCGATTAATTTGGCAGACAGATAATGAGCCTAAATATAACTCAACAACATATGCATGACATCCCAACAATTAGATTGTCAGAAAAGAGGAAGCCTATCAGTGCATCCTCACAATGAGAGAAAGAAACCAGAACAAATTACGAGTTAAACGACAGATAAAAAGCAAGGCAATTGGATGACCTGTTTCTAGTTCAGATAAACCAGGAAAAGAAAATCATAATACCTCACAGATTACTCAGTATCTCATCATGAGCTCAGAAAGCAGGACGTGCATAGGTAACTGTCTCTGGAAAATTACAGTCTCAAAGTAACGAACGCACCCCTCGAACATCCTTTGAGCTTATGGAATTAATTGATACCTATACTTTGGATTTTATTGTGAAGAATCCACATTTTGAAAAAAGGAAGTTCTTGTTTTCCTTCACACGTCTAAAAAATATGAATATGATTGCACTGACACATTGAGCTACTAATACTAGCTTCCCCAAAAGAAGCATGAAACATCAAGCAAAAACTCGGTGGGTAAATTCTTGTAAAACAACACCAATGTTGATAGCTCAGGAATTCTAGGCAGATGAGTTCTGGTCATACATCCTCAAAAAATGAACTACTCGCAATGCAACAAGAACTTCAATATCTCCTAAGACAGTAAGTAGTAAACTAAAAAGGTTGACTAAAAACAATGATTAATGAAGACAAGAGTGCAGAGTGTGAAATACAAACTGCCATCTGCTTAAACAACAAAATCTTGTTGAGTCGTCACAGAATCCACACAAACTGGTAAGATTCATAACAAAGCCGTGTCTTCAAAACCAAAATCATAGGCACCAAGGAATAGAAGTTCAAGCGACCATCACTAATTAGGAAAAAGCAAGGGTGATGCTTTGTACACGGAGACACAGGAAGTTGTATCCAGTTTCCCGAGAAATGGAAAGCTGCCCAACCACAAACAAACGTGGAGCATTTAGCAGCCACAGATTCAAGAACACGCGTACTTTTGTCAGCTGAATAGGTTTAGCTCCGAAAGAACAAATCCTGTAAAGTGACAAGACCAACAGATGAAGCATTGAGAAGACGGTAAACTCATTGAAAACACACAATGGCTTAATCTTCGAGTCAAAACTGTCAACTATCTGGCCAAAAATGGCGATCAGTACTCAGACATCACTATCAGCAGGGTGTGCAGTCTATTGACTTTGGCATATCCGCCGGTACGACCCAATTAGTTTCTTGATCACTGAATGCGGGCATCCACAGCTAGATCACATAATCAAAGAAATGCAAATCGGAAGCACCCGAGCTCGTTGAGCAGAAAAGGCATATGATCAGACACAAAGAAACGCAGATTGAATCGAATCTTGATTACCCAGAGAATAATCCGTCGGATATAGCCGAGAGGAAAGCACGACGAGCATTTGGGGAAGCGAAAGGAGGGAGATTGAGGCATACCCAGAAGCGGAAGAAGCTGACGGAGCTGAAAAGGAGACGACTTTCCCCGCAAGTTGCTTCGGACAAATCGACGAGGCACGACAAGTTGGCTTCAGCTACACATTTGTTATGGCGTGTGGATGGAACCGAGATCCCTCATTTACTATGACCATCGAAGCGTCCACTCCAATCCCACGAAGAGAGAGAGAGAGAGAGAGAGAGGGAGAGAGTCGTGTGAAGAGACAATCACTTCCCAGGTATGCAAGTTTCATCTTTTAAGACATCCCAGCAAGGAAAGAAAGAAGGGGGTCTTTAATTATTCAGCTGACGAGGAAGAAACAGAAGAGCAGAAGAAGGAAGAGATCAGCGGATGAATCAACCTGTGTTGTTGAGGAAGGGCTGCGTTTAAGTCACTATATAAAATAAGGAAGAGAAAAAAGGAAAAACATAATAAAACCTGGAGCCAAAAACCAGGGACTGAGAGCCTGCGGTATCACGGTGTTTGAGGACTCAAACAGGATCTGGTTTCTGGCCACCTCCAAGAGGGGAAGAATACCAAAATCTAGGACTCCCCCCCCCCCCTGTCCTTGTCTGGACAACCTAGTACCTAGTACCAACACAAACCCAACCGATCATAAAACTTATGATTTCTGAATTTTAGCTCAATGTATAATATGATTCATAAATTTGTAAATTATTTGATGTGATCTCTAAATTTCTGGTAATATTTAATTTAGTTTATTGGCTATATGAAATTATTCAATATTATCCCTAATTTTAAATTAATGAAAAGACCATATTGAATATTTTCATACCAAAAGTTTATTGATCATATTGAATAAATTAAAAGTTCAGAGATTACATTATATATTAAGCTAAAGTTTAGATACCATATTACACATAAAGATCATTTGTATTATTGTCACCACGCACCATGCATCGCATGTCACTCTCTTCCTTTCCGTCAATAATTTTGGTTTTCGCTTCTTGTTTGCCAGAAATCTTTTGAAGCCAACCCGGTTTACACAGGGAGGAAACTCTGTGGGTGCCAATCTCCCCCATTCCCATCAATATGCCGACATGATAGCATTTGATTATGGAATCCATTATTTGATGATGTTACTAGCTAAAAGATGAAATGTCGATAATCTCTCCATCTAGTCGTGATAAGAATCAAAACGATATTACACCACGGTGATGGATAAGATATGCATCCAACTGTTACAAAGTCCAGCGAATGTGGGTGTAACCGACGGTCAAATGATGTACATCACGGGCTCGTTAAGTCGTGTTTATGAAACTAGATCCATCCAACTTTTGGGTGAATCGGGTTTTTCATTAGAAACTCCATATGATTTAAGGACTCGACTTCATCGCAGTCTGCTTTCTACATCTAAATTAAGTCGTGTACAATTTTGTGACGGGTCACATCTTGTAATTGTAAATGCGATCGAGCAACCACAAAAATATGAGCGTAGGCTCTTATATTCTTTGCAAATCTTGGAATTTCCTCATGTGGCTTGACCTGAAATTGAATGATTATCATCAACAACAACCACATGATATTAGGAGTTTTAATTGAGTGAATAATTGAATGCTAGTGCATTTACAGAAAGACGGCAGAGAATGTAATTAAACAATGTACACAGAAGAGGATAATGAATAAAATGAGCATGAGCATATGCTACACTATGTACAAGACATTTCTTCAGAGGCTACAACTTCTTATTTCGAGAAAAATAGTCGGCGATGCCAACACTCCGTCTAACTGAGTTAGCTTGCCGCTTCTGAGGACGAAGCCAGGCATGGACTTCTTCTTGGATTTCTAAAGGCAGCTCATCAATTACAGAGGGGTCAATCTCATTGACATTGTATTGCCACATCTCCTTTCTTTGTACATCTTCACTCAAGCTATCCCCACGAATAGAATTGCTGTTTTCTGTGATAAATAAAAATAAACCCTTCTCAAGAGCTTGGCATGATTTTGTCTAAATGAATGGACATGGGTCTGATTTTACCTAAAGAGGAACATATATTGGTATTGTCAAAAGATTGGGCAAGGACTTGGCTCTGGAGAGAGCAAGAAGGATCAACCCTCCTGAAAAATCTCAAGAGTGAAGGCGTTCCCTGCCACAGCATGCCACGACATACTAAAGAGTTAAAATCCATTAAATCATCTGCTTTAGATCATCGTGAGACTAAATGTTGGGATTGCACATATCAAATGACCAAGAGCGATTTCTACATATTACTATTTATCAGACAAGGGAAGGTAGCATCCCGCAGTAAAACAACATCACCGCATTACTCCAAGTGACAAGTCATTAAGCACCATGAATATACAGTCACTGTGCACACTATATATAACAGAAATCAGAAAGATAAGTTACAAGTTATCATTTTCCTTCTATATTGTAAAAACAATTCTTTATCCATTCTCAATGTGCATTAACTTCAGTTATCAAAAACGTTTAATAAAATTTACCGCATTAGTCCGATTAGGAGATGAAGGACAGATCAACAAAGGTAGCATGGAATGATGAGTAAGACTGTGTGTAAAAGAAGAATTGCTAAGAAAAGATATGGACATAGCTGGTCCACGTTCAAAACATCAGAATACAGTACAATTAACATATCAAATGTGTCATAAGTAACAGATATTGGGTTCATATGCATGTATAACTTCAGCGTACATTGTGTGATAGTTAGGATTATAAAGCACGCATGAACATGACCTTAGTAGTAGAGTTTTCATTTCCATAATTCAATTTTTGAATCCTACACTTAAGCGCCAAAAGAAAAAGACAGCAAAGTGCATTATTGAACAATCAAAACTAAGATCTCACAACATTAGCTGAAGATTCTTGATTTCCAAGGTGCTACCAAAGTGAAGAATATATAATAAATTGACAGTCTGAAATAAAAATCCTTTGCAATTATATCAGAGGGTTCTGGCAATATCATTATCATATATTATTGAAATGACTCAGAGAGTAGAAGCGCATAAAAGAACCTTGTCTCTCAGTGAGTTTCTTTTCACTCGTTGCTCTGAAGCAGGTCTTCCAGACTCAAACATAGATTCTTCACTGGAAACTTTACTTTGCAGCTCAGTCAGTTTTGGTTCTAGATGGGATTCTCTTCCTACATTATAGAAAGCCTTGAAATACTTGCGCAGGGTAATACCAGAAAAGCATTCTATGAATTACAAGAGAGTGACACCACCTACTAAGACAGTACCTGAAAATGACAATGGAGTTTCCTGGCTGAAATCTGCATTTTTCAACGAAGACATTGAAGAGTCAAAGGGGACCTGCACATCAGGTAATCTGAAGAATGACAACTTTCCCAGTTTTCCCAATCAAAAAACTGGCAGACTCGGAAGTATCCAAAGGCAAAAATGGTACACTCAAAAACTATTGTCAGCCTCAAAGAAGCAGATGCTCTTAATTGAGCCATTACAGCAGTCTATTATCAAAGTAGATTGGTCAGTAAGTTTCTCATCCTTATTCATCATATAAGAATCGCTAGTTGTTGAAATGCTGTTCGCATTCAACTCACGACTGCCCACTGATTCAACCAGTATTACGATTTTATATGAAGTTCAACTTATTTCATCCTTTATAACGGGGTAAGGATTGATTGTCTAATTTAACGAGTAACAGCTTGAAGTATCATATTTCTGTTTATCAAACTAGATAATGCCCAATCACCTTCATCAAAATCAATTGTAAAAGAAAAGGAAAACTTGTGAAATTCATACCTCTAGTGAATTTTTACTTGTTTTATGTTCCATTGACTCCAAATCTGAGGATTCAGTCTTGATAGTGGGTTCCCCCTCTGGTAGTTTCATATGTCCGATTACATTCGAAGTCGAATTGCTTTCATTCTCTGAACAAAAAGCCAAGGCACATTCATATTGTTCCAGAAGTTTACTAAGTAAATAGAATGAAAGAAAATAAAACTGTTACTCATCGAGCCATAGAGTACCAGAAAATGAAGAGGGATTTTCTAGCTCAAATTTGTCCTTTCCTAGCTTTGACGGAGAGCAAAGTTGATCTTGACCTTGGAAGTATTTCATGATTGATGACGTCCCCTGGCAAAATGTTTATCGTTAAGTATATTTCACAAAACTGCTACTGTTAAGTGGACTTCCTTACAACTGAAAATTGATGTATCTAGCACAAACCGAAAAATACAGAAGTAAAGACTACAGTGGCGTGGGAAATACTCTTTTTATTCAAAGATTAGACAGTTACTACACAGAAAGTCAAATATGACATCCACCAAACGTCACTCATGGTGAAAAAAGCACGTAAATCTCACTGCAGTCCAGAAATTTCTGGACTACTTTAGTCAACATAGTCAATGGTTTGCCAGATGGAGCTAAATTTCTCAAACTAGAGGCAATACGGTGTTAATTTGCCTAGTTAATAAGGGAAAACCAAGTCAACATAACCTTAGGCCCCAACACAACAAAAAGTAAACCTAACCTAAAATTGCTTGTGAACTAATAATGTAGACTGGTGCTGCCTCCACGGGACAGGACAACTTAGAAGATTTGCTGGCATTAAAAGCATGCAAACCAGCTTGAAACAAATTTATCAGCTTTATAGACCAAGAACTTCTCAACTTACAGATGGTATATCAGAAATTTTGCTTGCTGATACAGAAAGTCCTGTGATTCCCCATCCACCTTTTTTCTTCCCTTGCATCTTAACCTTGAAGGGACCCAAATATTCACGCAATCCAGCTTGAAAGAGGTTCATTGCATCTTCTTGAATCTTGGTAGTCCCGTATCTTAAGGGACAAGATTTAGAAGGGAACTTCTTATGTGAATCTGAGTCCCTGGACTGAAGGATGATATTGAGGTGCATCAAGTACTCATCAAAAGGACAACTTTTAGAGCAAAGCATGGCAGAATTGGTTGAAGCAAAGATATGGCGCTACCGTGTATGCTCCAGCATGAAGAGTCAGTGTGCGGGCAATCCGTCTATTCTGATCCAAGTCAATGTGAAGACGTTCACTCAGCTCCTCACAGAGTTCATTAAGCCAATGTTGCACCTAAAATAAAGCAAACAGATTGCCGAATTATTTTGTGCCCAACACAAAAGCAAGTTCACCAGATTTTTAACATGGCATTACCAAATTTCATGTGGATCCGTATAATGGATTTGCACGAAATTATAAGCTTAACCTTACCGAAACCAAATACTACCGGGCAAATTGATCTCCATAAATAAAATGGAACTTCTGGTAGGCATAAATATTTTACAAAATACAGTAACAAAAAGTCAAGCAAGTTCAAGTCTAAAATCGAAGGAAGCTACCAAACAAAAGCCAACAATCGAACCTTTTTGGTTTTACCAGTGATAGTTTAATGATATGACAATGGCTTGTAGGCATGGTGATGGATTTTTAGGGCCACCCAAATATCACAGACAAAATCCAGAAACACAGTTCAAAAAGAACTAAGGCTTTTATGTTTTTCCTTTCCAGAGCTAGTGAGCACTTCGAACAATTCAATCTCATATATAAAATAATATGGTCTTAC